CTGGTGTCGCTCAGACGAACAAAGCAGCGGGACTGTGTGTGACTAGGTGTCCCACAAGGCTGACCAGTCCGAGCACTAGTGCGAATCACGTAAGAGCCGCGAACAGAACTGAGAGATTCTCTACTCTGAGCGTACCACTCACGAAGCTGCTGGGGCGTGAAAGACGCGCGTGGGCGTCGCTGGAGCTGCATTCGGCCGCTGCCAGTAGTATTAGCAGTAGCAGCGCCGCCACCCCTACAACCCCAACCAACGTACCACTCACGCAGCTGCTGGGGCGTGAGGGACTCACGCAGACATCGCTGGGGCTGCATCTGGCTCCGCCAGTAGAATCAGGAGCAGGAGAAGCAGCAGTAAGGCAGGCAGCCAGGCAGGCTGAAAGGCAGGCAGGCAGGCAAGCAGGTGGTGGGCAGCGCGCTAGCAGGTCAGGGGCTCACCAGTGGTGGGAAGAGCAGGCTCGGCGACTCGGCGACTCGGCGGTGCGGGCGGCTCCGGCGGCTCGACGGCACGGCCGCTCGGCAGCAACTGCGGCTCGGCGGCAACTGCGGCTCGGCGACTCGGCGACTCGGCGGCTCGGCGGCAACTGCGGCTCGGCGACTCGGCGGCTCGGGCGGCTCGAGCGGCTCGGCAGCAACTGCAGCTCGGCGACCTGGCGGCCCGGGCGGCTCATGTGGCGCTGCGGCTCAGGCGGCTCGGGCGGCTCGGTAGCAGCTCGGCGGCGCCGGCGGCTCGGTGGTGACGGCGGGTCCACTTGGGGACGGCGGCGGGGCCGGGTGGAGCGGCGACGGGGCCAGCAGAGGGGCGCTGGGGCCGGGAAGGACGGCGCCGGGGCCGGGAAGGGCGGCGCCGGAGCCACAGAGGTAGGCGACGGGGCCAGTAGAGGCGGTGCCGGGGTCGGTAAGGGTGGCGTCCGGGCCTGTAGAGGTGGCGCCGGGGCCGGGAAGGGCAGCGCCGGGGCCGCAGGGGTAGGCGTCGGGGCCAGCAGAGGCGGAGCCGGGTCGGGAAGGGCGGCGTCGAGGTAGCCGGGGTAGGCGACGGGGCCAGCCAAGGTGGCGCCGGGGCCACGAAGGGCAGAGCCGAGGCCGCAGGGGCAGGCGACAGGGCCAGCAGAGGCGGGGCCGGGTCGGGAAGGGCGGCGTCGGGGTCGCCGGGGTAGGCGACGGGGCCAGCCGAGGTGGCGCCGGGGCCAGGAAGGGCGGAGCCGAGGCCGGGATGGGCGGCGCCAAGGCCGCAGGGGTAGGTAACGGGGCCGCGAGGGCGGCGTGACGCGGCCGCTAGGGCAGCGCGACGAGATGGGGCCGCGACGGGGCAGCGAGGGGTCGCGCGCGGCTCCTCTGGGCGCCGCGACGGGGTAGCGAGGTGTGGCGCGCCTAGGAGGAACGGGGCCGCGCGCCTCGGGGCGCGCGCCAGAGAGAAAATCGCCGCGCGCCAAAAATAGGTTGTACGTCACGGTGCGTGCGACAGCTCGAGTAGCAGCGGAAGCAGTAGTAGGGCCCACTGGCCAGGAGCATATGTGCTCTGAAACCATGTGAGAATGAACGAGAAATTAATTGACTAAGTGAAAGTTGGGTACAAATACAAACCCTAGAAAGCTGTACCCCATATGTGCTACCCCACTATAGCCTACAATAGCAATGTCATATAAATCTGACACTGCAATCTCGAACCTCAAAAATATTTTGTGCTCGCCGTCCGTGCTTCACATTGCAGATCCGCACCGTACGTTCGAGCTCGTCATTGATGCTAGCGACATCGCTGTGGGAGCAGGAATGTTGCAGGACTTCGGGAACGACCTCGAGTCAATCGCATACGAGTCCCGCAAGCTTCACCCGCCCGAATGCAACTACCCGATACACGACCGCGAGATGGTGGCAATCGTGCACGTGTTCAAGGTATGGCGATGTAACCTCACGGAATCTGACGTGACAGTACGGACAGACCACCGATCACTACAGTACCTTCACGCCCAACCGAATCTCAACCCACGACAGATCCGCTGGTTGGACTATATGGAGTCAGATTTCCACTACACGGTCTCGTACAAAAAAGGTGCATCCAACATCGCTGATGCACTGACACGCCCCACCGCCCAACTCCACGCCATCCTACTCGCCCAAACCAACCCACAGCTAACAGACCTATTCACCCACGGACACAGTACTGACCCATTTTTCATGACCGGGAATTCACACCAACTAGCAGAAGCAAAAGGAGTCTATTACGTAAAAGCAGGCACAAACCGCATCTGGGTACTCGCGTATACACTACCGAGGGAACTGTTACTGCATGAGGTACACAACGGGATTACCTTGGGACATTTCGAGGTAGAAAAAACGCGACAGCAACTGCAGCGGTATTACTATTGGCCGGAGCCGTTGACCGACGTACAGCACTACGTGGGCTCGTATCCTACGTGTCTGGTGATGAAGAGCTCGCGAAAAAGAAAGGTGGGTCAGTTGCAACCGATTCCACCGCCAGAGCGCGCCTGGCAACAAGTTACCATGGATTTCGTCACAGGGTTACCTTCGAACCCTGGGGGTAACGACTCAGTTATGGTCGTCGTTGAGAGGTTGACGAAGATGGCACGCTTCTCTACTTGCAAGAAATAGATCTCATCCGAAGAAATCCCTCGCCTGTTTATCGCAGCTGTCATTCGACAACACGGGATACTAGCCGCGATAATCAGCGACCGCGACACGAAGTTCACCAGCAACTTTTGGACCAAGCTACAGTTCAGCTCGTCGTACCACCCCGAGACCGACGGTCAAATGGAGCGGACGAATCAGACGATGGAGTAGTTTATTCGTGCCACGTGCGACGACCCGACAACTTGGGAGCAGCAGCTGCCGCTGATTGAGTTCGCGTACAACAACGCCACGTCAACGATGACGCAGCAGTCCCCACTCTACCTGAACTATAGGCAAAACCGTACAGTGCCCATGACGCCGGGTCCGGACATCCCAACCCCACGCGTACAACAATTCACCGAGATTCTGCAAGCTGCCCGCACTAGAGCCGCCAAAGCAATTAAAAAAGAAAATGTCATCACTAAGCGCAACACTGACCGCCACCGCCACCCGCCAACACTGTAGTGTAAGGAATTTTCTCGACATTCCTTAGTGCGCCCTACAACATCGCGTACAGCAGCAGCCGTTGTTCGCCCGTTACTGCTAACGCTAAGCTCCGTATATTGTAACGGTGTGTTACGGGTGCAATAAATCTAGGTAGCAAGGATTCCACTAAGTGTAAAATGAGTAGATTGTAACGTATCCAACCTATCCAGCCTTGGAAGGCTCAACTCCTAGCTTATGAAAGACGAGTGACCCTATACCACCCCAAGGGCCAATCGGGGTGGTGCCAAAAAAACACCGCCTTTAGTGCTGATCCGACGATCAGAGCTGATCAGAGCTGATGTTGCGACCACGTGACATCATTCGCGACAAGTAGATTTCAGATATAAAATCCAGTAGGCCCCCCACTTCACCCTCTCCACTTCACCCTCTCTACACGAAAATGCCAGGAAACCTTCGAGACAAAATGGATGTGGAAGGGTGTAACAAAATGGTTCGCCGGACATCCTCATAAATAATTTAACCCTCGGATTGGGGGGTTATTATATCTAACGGCTGTAAATCGTCGCAACTATTATGGAAGGACGTAGAAAAACGATTTGGACCACTCGTTACGAGTGCCCAGCTTTGCTGATGTGGAGGATGCCGTCGCACTCGTCCTCAAATCACCCAGCTGGTGGTACGTATTCAGACTAGACTCGTTTTCTTAACGGTATCGAAAATTTACACAGCTATCCTTCGCCCCTTTGACAACTACCAGGTCAGTCTCACCGTTGCGCACCTAGAGGCTGTGCGCCATGTCGTTATTGACAACGCTCCTCGAAGTTTTTTGGTCCCCCTAACATCAGGTACTATACAGGCTGATAATTTTTATTCAACCATACAGCAAAATCTAAACCGGGATATTTCAAGAACGGACGCCACAATAGCCTAAACTGGTGTGCACTAGTCTCCCACACACTAGCTCCTCAGCTGGTGTCGACAGATCTCGTGAGGAGATTGCATGCATTATAAACGCTTGCGCATGCCCACGTGCGCTAGACTATGCTGGCTATCACTTTATCCGCTACTTGGCGTCACCTCCAATTTTCGCCGCCACGCCATCATGTCAAGGAATGGCCTAAAGAAGCTATTTGTTCGTCCAGTGACAGCAAGGCACCACGCGATGCGCGAACCAGTATCTTCACTTCCTAGGCTGGATGAATGGATCTTGCTTCAGTTCAATCGCGATCGGCATCGAGATTCCGCCGCGAAACCTAATATTGCGATACGGTTTCCAGTCTGGGAAAAACGTGTGATACTAGAGCTGATTTACAACAAGATTTCGAGGGCATGGGGGAGTTCGGAAAGAAACGTGCAATATCTAAAGATGCGAAAGATGGTCGCGAGAGCATCATCTTCCACCATGCGCGGTTTTGTGTGCATCTATTGCTGCCGCTGTGGTCCCGAGCTGAAAGCTTTCCACCGCCAAATCAGGAAACCTAGCCCCCCCACCTTCGTTGCTCTCACACGGTTTCCGTCGCCCAAATCTCCCATTCGCCGGTGCGGGTTACTTAAGTGAGAAAGCTAGCTCGGCCTGTCATAATTCGTCTTATTCACCCATACCAAAGCTCCACCTCACTTCTGCATCGGTAATCCTCCTTCCACACAGTGCGTAGTAACAAACTTCTCGTCTTTTACCGCTGCGTGGTCACACAAACCAGACTAACCCACTCTCGCGATCGCACATTTCTCGAGCGTCGTATAACCACGAGTGGTACTCCATTCCTCCATACAAAGACAAGCTCTCGCGCTGAAAACGAGCCGTTTCCCTCCTCGTACCGCGCTGATCTCGAGCCTCAAGCTTCCAGGGGAGCGTCCAGCCAACGATTGCTCCCGTGCCATTGACGTGCCACTGATTTTCCGGAAATCTTCACGTTTTATTCCCGAAACATGACGGCCCTGGCCCGTGGTCGGGAAGCGGAGTCGCAAGATGGACGACGCCAGCTTTCCCTGGTTTCAGATTCGCCGCCTAACCTGCCGCGGCGGCTCCCGCCTTCCTGGCAACCATGGACTACGGAGGTAAGGACATTGCGAATCCACGTGCTATTACGTGTGATCTTTCACCTACTGCTACGTGCATACCAAGCACTGCTAGGTCAAAGTGTCCCGCCGTGGTCCTTTTGAAGAAGGTGGTTCAAACTGTTCCACGTATGCCACATCCCGCGCCATTTCAGCAATAGTTGCGGCCGTGCCGCACAATGCAGCTTGTTGACAGCCGTTCCCTCCGCCTCTGCTACCCTCTGCCACTTACCTTCTGTATATTCCCTCGTCCTGTACTATATGTACTCATCATTTGTTACCTCTGCCACTTAACCTTACTCTCTGTCGCTTGTTTTAACTTGCTTATCCTCGGCCACTTATCCTGTTTCCCTTGCCCATATCGCTTTACTTCTGTCCCTCACCCCGATGGCTAACTTTTCGTCCCTTACTCTCGCTTGCCCCATAGCCCCCTCCCGGCTCAGCAGGGGGACGCAGTGCTGCTGCGGCACGCGGGTCACCCTATTTCGCCGTCTGTCTCTTACCCTCTGTCCCTTACCCTCATTTTCCTTCCATCTGGCAGGAGGACGCGGTGCTGCTGCGGCACGCGCTAAGGCACGGCACGCGGCAGTGGGGGCGGCTGGTGCGAGGCAAGCAGCTCCTGCGCGGCAACAAGGCGTGCTGCAACCGTTTCCTCTTCCTCAAAAAGTGAGCCCTGCATGCATGCAAGCCACAATGCCATTTGCTGCAACCGCTTCCTCTTCCTCAAAAAGTAAGCGGGGGATCGTTCTGCTGCCTCTCATGCCCTGTTACACCACCGTGCCATGCAACGTGCTTAGGGAGGAAATGCAGTGCAGCCTGTACAATGCAGTCCGCCTACTGTCTGAACTTCCCCACTCGCTCTATCTTGTGTCTAGATGAATCCATTGATTCGCGGATTGCATGCTTTGCGTTATGGATTTGAGCGCCTGGGTTCATGTCTGACACACTTCTTCATTCGAACCGCACTTTTTTTTTGTTTAATGTGTTTTCAGGAAGTTTACCCAGAAGCCCACTGATGCCACATTGCCAGCTCAGCAACAGTTCCAGCAAGGCCCATCCGTCTCCACTTCCTCCAGCCAACCACAGCGACACATGTGTAGCCGTCCTGATGTGGCGTTGCAATATGGCGGGCTGTCATTGGTCGAGTGCATGCAGCTGTTCCTCCCCGCTGGTATTCGAGACATCGTGGTCCCACCTGCTGTTTCACCTGACCATGCACCTGAGTTCAATCCAGCACCTGCTGAGGCTATCCTCGCGGATCCGGAGCAGTTTGTACCGAGCATGGGACGCCTAGGGAGAGAGAATGCAGTAGCAGCAGCAGCAGTAACAGCAGCAGCAGCAGCAATAGCAGCAGCAGCACCAGCAGCAGCAGCAGCATCAGGACAAGTAGGAGAAGGAGCAACAGGAGCTCAGCAGCGCACAGCATCAGTGGCAGATCGCCAGCTGGCTCACATTCTGTTTCCGGAATTACGAGCCACAGATGTATGCACCATGAACCCCATGAATCGGGGGATGAAGAGGCTTCGCAATGTCAACACAGGATTCAGCAGCGGCGGCGCTCACACCGGCACGTGTGAAGGCCTGTCGGCTGTGCAGCTTCAAAACATTGAAGTTGGTGATGCCTTGGCTGAGCGCTCGCTGCTTCTGCAGGCCGCTGACAGCCGGACCTGCCAGCGGAATTGCGGGAATAGGTGAGGCTGTGACTCGAGATGTTGAAGCTTATGTGCTTCTTTTGTGCCTGCACAATGTGCATGGATTTCTGGTAATATACTCTGATTTTGTGCCGTTTTCGGATCCAGTGGACCTCCGTTTATCCGACGTCGAATCCTGGCGAGTTCGCTTGTTCTCTTCTCATCCATTCTCCCCCCTCTTCTCTGTTCTTCCCTCTTCTCTGCTCTTTCCTCTCTTCTCTGCTCTTCCTGTCTTCTCTGTATCTGCTCTGCTCTACACTGTTTAGGCGGACCACCCTGTCATCCTGGCTCATGGCGTCTCTTCTGCAGCAGAAGCAACAGCAACAGCTGCCCCAGCATCAGGAGCAGCAACAGCAGCAACAGGAGCAGCAAGAAGAGCAACAACAGAATCAGCAGCAGGAACAGCTGCCATCACGGTTCACACAGGCTCCAATTGGGTCCAAGTCAACTCAGACTTTCCAGTCAATGAATGGACCCTCAGTCCGGCCTGCAGCTCACTGCAGCAGCATCAACACACCCATCTGGGGCTCTCTCCCCGCCCTTGACTGGCCTCTTTCCTTCTCAACCTCCCTCTCACCCTCCTTCACACCCTCCTTCACACCCTCCTTTTCACCCTCCGTCACACATTTCCTCGCACCCTCTCTCTCACCGACCCACATGTCCACCTCTCGGACCTACCCAGCCAGCCCTCTCTCATCCGCGTCGCACTGGCACTCCACCTCTCGCAAGCCCTTCGCCTTCAGCCTGACTCAAAGCTCCCTCCTGCATACCGCCCTTCCTAACATCTTTTCGCCATCCCTCCACTCTACCGTCCCTCCTCCCACCACTCCCTCCACCGCCCTCCCCATCGCTCCTGCCAGACACAACCCTCTCCCGTCCCCTTCCTCCTTCATACCCTTCCCTTCAGCTCCCAGCCAGTTTGCTGCTTTGTTCACGCCCACTCCTCTCATTACACCCACGACGCTAACGGTGTCATCAGCCCCTACCACCGTCATCAACCGTGGCCCACCGCACTCTATTCCCTCCTTCCCCTTACTCTCGGACCTCCAGTCCGCCCTCCACTCTCCACCGGCCAAAGCACCTCTCACACTCTCCGACCCACAGCACTACCCTTCTCAGTGCTACCCTTCCCGCAGTGCCTCCCCAAGCAACGCTGCTTCCTCCGCTTCTGTCGAATGCTCCCCGCCTTCCTCCCAGACCTCCTCCCAACCCTCCTTCCAACACGTCTTCCGACCCTCCGCTACGCCAGTGGAATCACAGCAGCTGCGAGCCACAGCCGCTCCGTCAGCTGCTCCTTCCCACCCTGCTGCAGCAGCAACATCCGCAAGCGTGCTTTGCATTCCTCCCATTCCTCCTGTGCTTCCAGCAGCAGCAGCCCTTCCAACTTCTTTGTATCATGCAACAATGGACACACCTCCCTTGTCTTCACCTGCACTAGCAGCAGAACATGGGAGGCCGCAGAAGATGCCTCGGACGAGCCGAGGAGTTTTGCCCCCCGCTGCTCTGGAATTCGCCCGCTCCTTTTTTTCTGGGCTGTTGGGCAGGGTTGATCACCAGGGAAGCGAGAGCAGCGACAGGGAAGGACTGCCTAGTTTGAGCGAGTCTTTACTGTCTGACATGGTTACTGCAGCGACTGCTGCTCCTGGTGTAACTGCTACCCCTGATGTGACTGATTCTCCAGCAGCAGCGGCTCTTGCAGCAGCAGCAGCAGCAGAAGGCATACCAGTATGTCAGGGAGAGGTATCCATTTGGAAGGATCTGATTGAGCTGGAGGGCGGGGAGATGGAGGTGGTCTGTGGTGTGGAGAAGAGAGCAGGGTTGGCGCTGGGCTCTTTCTGCGAGCTGGAGGTCCTCTTACAGGAGAATGAACAAGCTAGTGTGGCACCATTTGGCACACAATGAACAAAGACTTGTCAAATGCAGTAGTTGGTAATGTAAATTACATGAGTTTCGCTGGCAGTTCTTGTGCGCCAATGTGTAGCCTTTGATTTGTAATGAACTCATTTCAACTGGCAAATTACAACATGCACCTCGAGCTAGACAAAATAAGTGCTACCATATTACCCCGGATAGTAGCGCATATGCGCTTATAATAAAATTGATTTTTTTGGTGGGGGTGCTTTTAAGTGAGTATCGGCCATAAGAGCCGCCGCCGGCGCTTATATAATGACAAGTACAGAAATACAACTTAAACGCATAAAAATGTACATTTCTGTCTCGTAGGTTCAATGGCGTCCTAAATTTGAATCGCGTGAGGGCGAATCTCTGACGTTGCACATAGCTTTTCGCACGTCAATTTGCCCGCGTGCCACCTCATCCTGACTGGACACGAAACCAGTCAGGACCTCGAAAGTCAAACAAAGTGAAAATGGGTGCTGACTCGCTTGAATTTCGAAATTCGTGACTGTTTTAATCAGGATTGAAAGAATAAAATTATACATGCGCTTATAATAAATTATAATTTTAAACACACGAAGTGTTTTTCAAAATTACGTATTTCGAAAGCGCAGCTGCTTGTAACGCATGTTTTGGCATCGTCGAAGCGCGCTAAACGCCCTTCTCCAACTACAAATCGTGGGTTGGAGCTCATTTCCCTCCACCCACGTCTCTCGTTTTCCAACGGCTCATGCAACTCCATTTTCTCGAGCTCACTTCTAGTTTTACCGTTCAAGCTGGCGAGGACTCGCTCATTACCTAGAGGCGTTTCACCTTCAACTTTATTAGCCGACATCCTTAACCAAAACCGCTCAACGATGGCTGCGACGCCGACGCTTAACCGTGCTAACAACATCGTCGCCAACGACCCGATAATTTCCGACAACGACCGTAGTGCCCGTGAAACGACGGGCGAGCGTCGCAACAAGCGCCGGGCAGACGGCGAAACATCCGCCCCGACCGCCGTGGACGTGCTGTTGGGCGGGCTCGAAGTCAACAAAAACGCCGAGCAGCACCCCCAGCACCCTTCGGCGCCTGTGGCGCCAGTGGCACCTGTGGCGCCAGTGGCGCCTGTGGCGCTAGTGGCGAACGTGGCGACACACGCCGCGGACACGGAGCACGCGCCAGCGGCACACGCCTCCGGCCGGCCGTCGCGTCAGCGCCAGAGGCGCCGTACGGCTGCCTCGTCTGACGCGACGGCTGACCAGGCCTTGACCGAGGCGTTGACCCCGCACCAAGTCAAGGCCCTCCTGTCCCTGTTACAGCAGCACCCTGCTAGCGCGATCGCCGCCGAAACTACACAACCTGCTGCATCTGCATCGGCTAAAAACGACATTGCAAAAAAGGAAAAAGGAGCAAAAGGACCATCAACGCGCCGCCACGACAAGGAGGCCGTTACCAGCGCTCCTGAAGCTGCAGCAGACAACAACGACTCCGACGACTCAGACGACGACGCCGGTGAGGCTCCGAACAACGCAACAAATTTTCCCCCCATGGAAAATCTCCCTCCCCTCCCTTGCACTAACCCCACTTTTTCGGCGGCAAACTTCATTGACCCGATCGTGCGAGCGAAAGTGGAGCCCCTGGAGGACCTGAGGGCCTACCTGAAGCACGCGGAGTACAAACTGCAGCGCGGCGACGCGGCGGGCGGACTTGAAATGGTCGCGAGCGCCCTCGACTACATTTCGGAGTGCTACGACATGCTTCAAGTCGAGGACGCCACCGACGATCGCGTCGCCAAGCGGTTCAAGATGTACCAGCAGAAGAGCCTCCTTACCTCCCGCCCGTTCAAGCAAGCCGTCGCCGACGTGGCAGCAATACATCGCGCGGAGGGTGCGCACGCTCGATCCCACCGCGACGGAGGTCGCGGGCCCATGGTGTTCAACCCCAAGCGCGGCCCGCCTATGGGGAGCTTCCACGGCTTCCGTGGGACATGCTTCCGCTGCGGCCAGCCGGGGCATGTGGCAAGTGGCTGCCCGCGGAATGGCAATGGTGGCCAAGGACCCGCACCCGTGGTGTAGGGATGGTCCTTGAGCGTTTGCGCCTTAGCGCGCGTGGCACGGTGCACGTCAAGTGCGTTGACCGTGGGCAACCCAAAGGGGTTTGCGGTGGCTATGAGCCAAGCCCTAGTTAGGGGTGATGATTAGGCTATAGGCCTAGGTGGCAGGAGAGGGACTAGAAAGCCCTTTGGTCCCATAATTTGGCCCGTGCGGTGCGGGGCGGATGCATGCTAGGAAGCATGGCTATGTGTGGCCCGTTTCTTATAAGGGCTTTATTTTTAAAGAAGTACTTTCTGATCTTGGCTTTGGATGACAAAAAAAAAAAAAAAAAAAAAAACCAGAGAGCAACAAAATGGCAAGCACCCACACGAACCTGAGCAAACGGCCCCACCATTCGTTGGCATTGGTAGCCTTTATATTGGCCACGAGCCAAAAAGGCATGTCATGGATAAAGGGAAAGCAAGAGCAAATGCAAAGAGTGAACGAGAGCGAGATAGAGAGAGAGAAAGAAGGAGAGAGAGAGAGAGAGAGAGAGAGAGAGAGAGAGAGAGAGGGGGAGAGAGAGAGAGAGAGAGAGAGAGAGAGAGAAAGAGAGAGGGATAGAGGGAGAGAGAGAGCGAGAGGGGAGAGAGAGGCGAACCGCGTCACACATGGGTGACAAACGATGATTACGACTTGTTGATGTGTCTACACACGCGTTATCGCATGCACATTCCTGAGACACGATGGCTTGCATTCTAACACCTCTGCGCCACTGTCACTCGACAAACATGCAGAGATAACACGACACGAGACGCTAGGCGACGGAGATCCGTACGAGTTCGCCGTCACTGACAAATCTGTCACGCAAATGCGCGGGCGGCTTCGCGCAACCCTTGCATGGTGGAGCTCGTGGTGCCCCAGCAGCCTCATCCTCTCCGTCATCGCTAACGGTTACTGGCTGCCATGGAGCCACAACCCACCACAAGCTTTTCACGAGCGCAACCACCTCGGGGCGCACACGCATGCTGCGTTCACACGCACTGCCATTCGCGAACTTACCGAGACCGGCGCGGCGGTGGTCACCCCAGCAGCGGAGCTCACATGCATAAGCCCACTCAACGTGGTTGAGCAACGAGAAAAATGCAGGCTAATCCTCGACCTCAGAAAAGTGAACGCGCACCTGACCATCCCTAAATTCAAATACGAAGGCCTAAGCCGCGTGGCCGACCTGGCACGCATGGGAGATTGGATGTTCTCCATCGACCTCAAATCGGGATACCACCATATCGACATACACAACTCTTGCTGGAAATTCTTGGGCTTCGAATTTGAAGGGCGCACGTACGCCTTCCGTTCACTACCCTTTGGCCTCGCCACGGCACCATTTGTCTTCACGCAGCTCATGAAACAACTAGCCAGGCGCTGGCGTGAACAAGGCGTTCGAGTGATACCCTATGTGGACGACATCCTGTTCTTATGCACGTCCAAGGCCCACGCACAAGCAACATGCCAGCAGATAATTTCGGACCTCAAGATGGCGGGCTTGGTGATTAACGCGAAAAAGTCGCAGCTGCTGCCATCCCAACATCTGCGATTCTTGGGCGTCGAGTTGGACACCAAATCTGGTCAATTCTCAATTGGCACCGATCGACGGGCATCACTTCACGCACACATTCGGAACCTACTGGACACAAGCAAAGCGCGCCGACAGGTTCCAGTCCGCCACCTGGCCAGAATCACCGGCACACTCGCGTCGATGGCCGTCGCACTCGGCGCCACGACGCGTGCATTCAGCCACGCCATGCTACAAGAAATTAACGACGCGCCATCCTGGGGAAGCAGCTTGAGCATTTCCCCCCCCATTGCTGAAGAGTTGCAGTTCTGGCTTGAAGAGTTCGACAAATTTAATGGCGCACCATTCCACGTTCGGAATAGTTATGACGCGGTAATTCACGTGGACGCCAGCTCTCATAGTTGGGGCGCCACCCTTCTCACCTTCCCTGGTGAACTCGAAGAGGCAAGCGCAGCCATGCCAGAACCATTGCGAATGACGTCCAGCACTCGGAGGGAAACTGAAGGCGTCCTTTCGGCCCTTCGAACATACGCGAACAAGGTTCAGCAAAAAAACGTGCTCGTGAGGGTGGACAACCAAGGGGTCTTTTTCATCCTCCGCAAAGGCGGCTCTCGCACCCCCGACCTCACCACCGCCTGCAAGGACATCATCCGCACGTGCATGGAGCTCGGCACTCGATTAATTGTTGAATGGATCCCGCGCGAGCTAAACTCCCATGCAGATGAGCTGTCCAAAATGATCGACCACGACGATTACTCATTGAAACAACCATGGTTCCGCATCCTCAATCGTCGCTGGGGTCCCCACTCAATCGACCTTTTCACAAGCCCAAACAGCTCGCAGTTGCCACGATTCTGCTCAAAGATACCACACCCGGAGGCCACTGCAATCGACGCATTCTCGATTTCATGGTCGACCGAGAATGGCTTCGCGTTCCCGCCACCCTAGTTAATCCCAGCAGTCATCCACCACGCACAACGCACCCACGCCTCACTCACCCTCGTTGCCCCACATTGGCCAGGGGCAACCTGGTGGCCACTCCTACAACCCTCCCCACCTAGCTGGGCCCCGCATATCCAAGCACAAATTCCCCTGACGCACGGCAGCCAATGTTTAGCAGTAGGCTCGCACCGCACCGCTTTCTCAGGCACAGGATTGCCTCATAGTACAATCGTCGCATTACGAGTGGTCTTCAACTAACCCATCTCGTCCTCCTTCGCGCAGACGTACTACCAAAGCTACAAGTACAGCTTCTAAAGATGCTCTCACAGTCTCGTGCTGACTCAACGATCCAAACGTACGAGCCATACTGGGTCAAGTTTCGAGCCTTCTGTGCAAAGGTGGACCTCCCATTCCTCCCCGCGGCAGACATGACCCTCGCACTATACCTGGTGTACGCCATCAAACGCAAG